GAGAAACACTTAGAAACACTTGTGGCCTTATTAAAGCTTATTTCTAGGGATTAATTTGATTTCTTCTAGGCCATTTCCCAAGCTTCTGACAATGTCACCTGTAGACCCAGTTCTCCTATGAGCTCAAGGCAGGCAGGTCCTTACATCAGTCTACGCCTCTATTGTCCTACTTTGCTAACCTTTAGAATGCTTAACAACAGAATTTCCATACAAGAAAGATAATTAAAATAACAGCAGAGCCATTGTCTTGTGGGTGGATTTCTTGTATTCAAACCTCAGCTCATTTACGCATTGCAAAATAACCAGGACCATCCTAGAAGAACAGCACAGAGTGCTCAACACTGGTCATTTTCTCATCCCAAAAACAGCTCTAATTCCCAGAAATGACAGTCTATAACCATGGCATCTGATTTCATCAGCAACAAATTATAAGTTTTAATAAGCAGTTATGTTAATGAACAGGAAAGCGATGATAAAAACAGTTTTTTGCTGCTATAATGTTATGCTTAGTGAAATCCTTATCATTAAAAACTACCTGAGAAGCATATTAATGTAGACAATTTCAACAAATCATCGCTTGTATCCTATTAGATAGGGGGAAAAAAAGACAAAGTATGGGATTGTACAAAGTTATCGACCCTGTTCATTAGACTCCTCCAGGACTTCTTGTTAATAGAAACCTTGTTCTGGATGACCTCTTATTTCACTTTCCTGCCATTTGTGTCACCCTCGTTGTTCCAGTGGCAGAGCAACCAAGGCACACGCAGATGTAAAAAACTTCGGGAGCATACTGGCACCTGTGTTCCTTATGCCAAAAGCATCTTTTAAGCCTACGTGTTTCAGTCTTGCTTCTTTTTCGTGTGCATAGTTCCCCGTGACAACTGGAGCTGTGTACGCAGAAACATTTCAGAATGAAAAGTTCATCAGTCTGGATGAACTTTCCTTTGAGAAGGAACAAAGACTTTCCACTGTTGGAACCACCAATACTCCTGCAACATCGGTTACTGTGGGGGGCTAACTGTGAGTTTAAATCACAAAAAAATTTACAGATCGTGGGAGCTGCAGTGCCAGACCAGATGCATCTGTGACTGGAAAAGGATAACAACATAGGGGCAAAGGAAGAAATGGTGAAGGCCAAGGCATCGCTGCTCTTCCTAGGAAGCAAAGGGTTAGGTTTGCAGTAAATCTAGCCTTGCTCGTCATTTCAAATACAGCCTTGCTGAAATTTGAAGGAGGCCAGATTTATCAACAGTGCAGGATTTGTCCGTTCTGATGTAAATGCTGTTATTCATATCTCATAAGTAATGCAAAATCAATGAGGTTCCATCATATTATATATGTAGGACAGAGATACTTGAACTGCATCGTTTCTACAGCAAGCCTACAAATCATATGAGGTCTAATGATTTATTCCGCCGCATGCCTTTCCAATTATGTTCTGATTTTCTGTTTCAATTGCTAAGGAACTAAAACCAAGATATTTAAAAGCCCAGATTTATGCTTAATTTTGTAATAAGACATTCAAAATGAAATTAAAAAAAAAAAATCCTGATCTTGTCTGCAATACATCCTTCCAATTTTTGCCTGTGGAAAACTAAGAACCTCATGACTGTGCAGCTGCCATAGGAAAAAATAATGTCATTCCCTGGCCTGCATTAACCTTGACAGAGATTTGACTTTACCTTGTGACTGATTGCACTGATTACTAAAACATTACTCTTTTCACAGTGCTGTGGGATTCTTTGTTTCTCTCTGGTTTCAACCAACCAAAATACAACAAAAATGTCATATAAACTGCTATGAAGAGTTCGGTTTCAATGCATTCACATTTTCTAGGAAAATTCTTTTCCTTTAGACTTTATTCATGATGATATATTTTCCTTTCAAAATCAGTTGTTCTTTGAGGAAGTAGGAGTGACCAGGTTAATAAGTATCATTTTGAAACATCGCAATTTCAGAAAGTGCAAAAATAAGTGTGAAACCCTGTCTCCACTTTGTTCAATGTCTTTTGTATTATTAAAGCTTATACTGTATTTTAAAACCTCCAGAATTTTGGTATGTGTGGAAGAAAATCGTATATAGTGTTTTTAAAATCAGCAGTTCTGTTAGCATTCCAGTGCACAGAGCCATATTTACTGTATTTGAGCTCAGTTACTATAACTAGAGCTGCTGTTGTTAAAATTTACTTCAGTTAATTTTGAGAGAATATCACCATAAATTTGTAATATTGCTAGAAACGTTAAACTATTTTTCTCAAGAAATGAACAAAGGTATTTCACATTGTTTCTCCAAGTAAAACCTTATAGTCTTTCCCCACCATCCAAAAAAAAAAAAAATTGAGAAAACATCCTTTTGCTCTTTTTCTCTCTCAGAATAAATTTACTACAAAGTTTCTCTTTGTAGTACATATGTGTGCGTTTGTATGTGAAAGACAAATAGGATTTCTGCCTCTGACACACGAGTACACCATGTAGTACAAGAGACTCAAACACATGTGACTTTTTTCATCTTTGTATAACTGAGCCAGCACAGCAAATAGTAATTGCTAATGGCAGTACAGATGAAGAATACAAAACTGCACACAATGCGTAGGAACCAGAATAGTAAACTACCAAAAAAAAATCACCTCTTTTCAACTTCTACCAGCAGCTTTGTGATACTAATTTAACAGAATTGAAGCCGTAGCCTAGTCCTTCCAGAATTATTGAGTACTTTCTGTTCTTTCCAGTTCTCCACTGGAGGCCCTATTGGGGTTTAGAGTATGAGAGAGGACACACTCCTGCATGTGTGGATTGACTCCTGTAAGATGCCTGTGACAATTTCAGCATGCTTACAAAGCAGGTGTTTCTCATGCATCTGTACACACAGTATGTTTTCCAGGGAAACAACAAGCTTTAGCCAAATGAAATGTGACTAGATTTTAACAAGGAAAATATTTTATTGGAGGCAAAGAATGTTTCATGCTTCACTGGCCTTGTCTCCTTTGGTATCTCTTACCCCTGCCTAAAGAAGAAACTTCATGAGGAGAATCAGATGTCAAATGGCCTGGATGCCTGCCATCAACCCCCATAAATTCAGAGAGATCATCTAACAATGTGTAAACCAGATTTGACAATTCATTATTTAGCTACCACTATAAAAATGGTAGTTAAATAACTAAAATACATATTCATTCTTTTTTCCAGTTGGCCTCTTGTCCATTTTATTCTTGGCCTACACAGAATTTCCTACAAGGAAATGTATGATATGGTAGCCAACTATTTAGAGCTATTGGTACTATACGGAGAACTTTTTCGATTTTGCACACAATCCTTTCTGAAGTTGTGCAATAACTCTGTCCATGGAATTAAGTTGAAGTTTGTTGTAGTGGAATGAATAAAAAGAAAACCTTAAACAATCACACTCATTTTTCCATGTGTTCTTTTCTAACAAAAAATATTACTTTTTCTTTAGCCACGCTTTAGCAGAGGGATCTCGTTCTGCTTTTGTGATTTAGGCATTCAATATGGGATTTACAAAACTGGAAACAAAGACACTGAAGAAGACTCTAAAAACTCTTTCAATGTGATGTAGTTATACAAGCTGACATGTTTTAGGAAGGAATACTATGTTTTAAAATTCTTCTATGACAGCAAAAGCAATCTAAACTCACAATGTTTCAATGTAAGCTAGCTGAGCACCATTACATGATACAAAATTAATAATGGCATTTGTTCAGGTAAATTAATTCCCAAGTTGACATACGTGATATTTACACCCTTATTGGCTTGTGGAATTGCAGGGTCTCACAGTCTAAAAACATGCAAAATGTTTATTGGGAGAAAGTCAATATTGGATCAACCCTACCCTTGCAAATATTCCTCTATTTAATTCATTTGCAATGCTTTCTTACCAGTACCACACTAGTCCTCACCCTGTAGAAATAACAAATTAATTGGCTGACAAGGAACATCTTTCTCCTGGACCCGGGAATACATTCAGCTGCCAAATAAAATAAAATACAGCTTTTGTCCTTTTCTCCTTGATGAACTGTCTAAGAAGCTGCTTCAAGTACTTTTCTCCTTTTGGTAAACACACAAATTTCTATTTTATCATTTCAAAACCCATATTTGGGTATTTCAGAAGAGTATCTAAGTTTATAATTCCATACCAGTGTGCATGTACTATACCACTGCATATTATAGGGATCTAGATTTCATTAAGGTATGGAGCTGAGTTGTGCTCCAAGCTATATCATGTAACTCTGTTGCCCTCACTGTTGTACTGAAAAATGTCTTCCAATAAAAATTGCATCAATACAGGTTGATGCTATTAAACTTGACAGTCTTAAAGAAGGTTCCAATATGAAAGAAAAGCAAGCCAGACAAGCAAAGCATGATTTCTAAATGCTTTGAGTCACAAGTTGTCCGGAAAGTTATGCCTAGTGTGAACATTCATTTACTGTCTTGCAAACAGTTACATCCCCATTGTATGTAATTAAACTTGGGTGTATCTTAACCTACTTCTGGGAACAAATTGGTTTCCTAAATGGTTCTGCATCGTCTCAATCACTTTGCGTGTATATTGCAACAGTGAGAATATACCTACCAAAACATTCAGGCTTCAAACTAAGAACTAAATTTATGGATGTGGATATATAACATATTATTCATTAGCTGTCTAAATTACCTGTAGTCTGATCCTTGAATATCCAAAGTCACTGAGTATTTTGCTTTCATATTTTTTGTGTATTCAGTTCTTCCATGTTTCGTATTTAGCAGCCAGTCTTGGCAGATACTTAATGTTATTCAGGTTAGACTTGGACCATTCACTAGGAAGCTCTAGGGACTGTGTGTTCTGTGTGCAGATGTGTAACCACCCTGGGGAGTAGGATCCCAAGTTTGGCTTGGGATCTTCAGATGCTCGAGGTGGATTGCTAGACACACACGGTGGTCATAAGTTTCCTGATGCTTCAGTATTGGTTATCTGTAACAGGCGTTTTTCTTATCTGCCCCTTCTAGGAATTTGTCATGATTGTTGTCTTTGGTTTGGAATTTATTATTCGTATCTGGTCTGCTGGATGCTGTTGCCGATACCGAGGATGGCAAGGAAGACTGCGCTTTGCAAGGAAACCTTTCTGTGTAATAGGTGAGTGTCCCAGATCTCTTTTATTTTTAAGATAAAAATAAACACGCTGCTTTCTTTTTTGCTTCTGAATGAAAACTACTGGAATCAGACTCTGTTTACAGTAACAGGGTGTAAATCCTGAATAGCTTTGTGTCAACTGTCATCTGCCTAAGGCTTCTCTAGATATAAAATCACAAAGTCCCTAAAAACCATTCAGTCCATGTCTCATATTCTCCAGAAGACATTTTCCTATGCATGTCATACAGCTGGCAAGTATGCTGGAAGAATGAGGGGCTGAGAACTGATCTCATTGAAAATCGTGGAAACTGTATGCATTTAGTGGACATATTACACATCTTGTGTATACATGCATGGACACCGTGCACATATGTGCATGCATTGTGTACCCTTATTTAACCTCTATGATCAGATATGTGTACACTGCAACAAATTTGAGGACCTACCTAGAAACCTCTTCTGACAGCATTGCTTCTTCCTGCTTTGCTGCTCTTTGCATGACAGTCCAGGTATCTGCTCTGCCGCTGACTCTGGCATGGGATATAGCATACTTCTTCTACAACTGTTTCAAGAGACTATTCCCTTCTTTGCTCTAAAATGGTCTGTAAGAATGGTGAATAAGCCCACAACCAGTCAAAACTCTCTTCTGAAAAAGAATCTGCAGAAAAACACTTCCCCAATAAAGGTAGAAATCAAGGATGACTAACCAAATTAATCTGATAATTTCTCATTTTTCTAATGGTTTGGCGCAAATGCAAGCTCAAGTTAATGCAGCAATATGCAATTGCAGATCAGAAAGCCAATCGCATACTGGGCTGCATCAAAAGCAGCGTGGCCAGCAGGTCGAGAGAGGTGATTCTACCCCTCTACTCCACACTCATGAGACCCCACGTGGAGTGCTGTGTCCAGGTCTGGGCCCCCAGTATAAGAAGGACATGGATCGGCTGGAGCGCGTCCAGAGTTGGGCCACGAAGATGACCAGGGGCCTGGAGCACCTCCCCTGTGAGGAAAGGCTGAGAGAGCTGGAGTTCAGCCTGGAGAAAAGAAGGCTCTGGGGAGACCTTATAGTGGCCTTCCAGTACTTCAAGGGGGCCTGCAGGAAAGATGGGGAGGGACTCTTGATCAGGGCCTGTAGTGATAGGATGAGGGGTAATGGTTTCAAACTGAAAGAAGGTAGAGTTAGATATTAGGAAGAAGTTCTTTACTGTGAGGGTGGTGAGACACTGGAACAGGTTGCCCAGAGGCCATACACAGTTCTCAGTGTAAACAGTGAATAGCGAATTGTCATGTATATGAATGCCATCCTGGTCTAAAAAAGAGTTACGCAGTGTCCCATGGCATAGCAGACCGGTGCACTGGTTAGGGCTAATGTGTAAAGCAAGCTTGTGCCTTCTGCTCATTCCCTGGTAAACCCACACCTTCTTCCACTGAGGAAGTCCGCAATGGAGAAAAGGTCTTTAGCAAGAGATGCGTGAGTAAGTGCAAAGGCATCACAGACTATCTCCCCCTTGGAAAGAATCACCCCATCTATGCTATTTTATGACACTGTGGGAGAGGGACAAGTATTGGGATTGGCACTTGTTTTATTCAGGCAGTGGGGGAGGTGGGTAGGTACCTTACTCAACTCCACACAGCACCAGGTCACACACTTGCCCCAAGGTCCCCATGCCTAGCCAAAAGTGGAAAGAAAGTTCAAAAATCTTCCTAGTCTTTTCCAGACACCTGTCAAGGGAAAGCTAGAAATTCAGATATTCACTCTCCCTGGCATCAACAAACATAGCTACTTTCTTTAACCAGATTTACTATTATTCCAAGATTTTGTGGTGCACATGGAACTTTGCAGTAGTCGGGTTTTGTCAGCACACCATCATAAGAAAGCACCAGACTGTCAATTTAGTAAAATCAACCTACTTGATAGAAATGTAAATCTTTAAAGAATTTGAACTTACTAAAAGCATTTGACAGAGTGGTTTGCTGCTCTCCCAAATGCCATTGTGTGTAAACACTGTTTTTTCCATTCAGCTTTTGTTCCTCCTCCCTTTCCTGTGTTCATTTAACTGGTGAGTTTTCTGCCAGTAATTCAGTTTTAGTCTGAGGTGTTAATTCCCAGCAAAAGTGAGTAGAGAGGTTCTTCCTTGTACAAAACTCTGCATGTTATCATGGGGTGACTGACATAGATTTTCCACCTTTCCTTTAAACAGCTCATAGCTACTCTCCTACTCTTTGTGAAATAGTTCTGGCAGGTGTCCTGGCATGGGTCTCAGTGAGTTGTTAGGGTTTACTTTACTTGATTGTGGTTTTTCCTCCTTTCTCTGGAGTTCACCTGCTCTTATTTTTGCACCTATGTCCATGTAGGCAGTGTCTACCCTTAAAAGCATCTTCTCTGCCAGTAGCAAACAGTCTTTGCTTGCAGATGTCTTATGCTGGTTCACTGGACTATTCTGCAAAACACTGCACACCTACTAGTGCAGCTTCTGGAAACTAAACCAGTAGCTTGAATTTCTTGGCATTAATTATTCTGCTGATTTATTTTTGTCCATTTCTGGACTTTAGCATCCATGAAGGGGTTTTCTGATGTTCAACATCTCTCCAGATTTGGTCTTATCAGGAAAACCTTTAGGAAGTCATCTTGCCACTCTTGCTACTTAAAGTAACTATTTGCCTGACACCTTGGCTTTGCTGTCATGGCAAAGTGTGTCCTAGCAGCAAAGGCCAATAGGCTGTGTTAGCTAGAGCACCATCAGTAGATGGAGACACATGATTATCTCCCTTTACTCAGCACTCATTAGACCACGTCTAAGATACTGTGCCCCATTTGCCCACTCCAACACCACACGTGAAAGATGTCAATAAATTGGAATACATTCGGTGAAGGCCACAGAGATGATCAGTGCTGGAGCGTTTTCCCTGTGAGAAGAGACTGAGGGACCTGGGCTTGTTCAGCCTGGAGAGAGGATGGCTTCAGGGGGAACTCAGTGAACTCAGTACTAAGATCTCCTTAAAAGCACATGGCTAGTTTTGGCCTATTACTTTTCATGTGTTTGTTTAATTATTTACTTAGTCATCTATTCGGTCATTCTTTCTGCTTATTGTTACAGTGGAACAATAATATTTTAGAAGACTTAATCTGTTTACTATTAATTAAATTTGTTATATATCTCCAGTAGATCTGTTCTCAGATTATTTTTGTGATCAAGCACAAATCATACAGGGGAATGGCCTAAGATTTAGAAATAATAAATTTGAGGATTGCCTCAAGGGTCACAATCAGACAGCCTTTTTTTTTTTTCCATTAATAACCTAGTAACTAGAAAAATTTTATTCATGGCCAAATCTTTGTGCTTACGTTAGTGTGCCTACAATGTTGCTACCCTGACAAATTAGTTCATCAAGCATTGCTGTGTGCTACCAAGTTAATAATGATATCTATCAAATTATTTGACAGTTCTGTATGCTTGTTTATTTCTGTAAAAATAGGAATAATAATGTCATATTAAACCTCGATTTGTATTTTGTTCCATGTTGGGAGTTATCTGCCATCCCTCATTTTCTCTGATTGTATATGAGCTTGTGTACATAATGTAAAGGGCATATCAACATACCCTCCCAGGTACTTCATGTACTTAAAGATGTACTTACTACTGCAATTCCTAAATTTCCCAGGCATATCAGTTTGAAGTTTGGCTGTTAGCACTGCAGAGCAATGTTGCTGTGTTATACTGGGCAGAAGAGCAGCCATCCAGGCATGACATCTCCTAACTGCTGCCTCGGGGGGCCAGGGATGCCGATGCCTGTGAAGAACTCTGTGTCTGCTTGTGCCTTAGGAGGAGCCATGCTCCCTGAAGATCTCCGAAATAAAATAGGACATGTCTGCTAATTGGGAAGATAGTATGGCATCTCTTCCTTGTCAAGCCATTCAGGGGCACTGAAATAAATGAAGAGTCCATTGTCCTTTCTCTGGCAATGGGCCTCCTAGATGGTTGCATGTGACCAGACAAAATTAAACTTCTCGCCATTGTCCTGTGCATGTGAGAGGTTTTATCATCACAATGAAATCTCAGTCTGTGAGGGCAGCTCCCACATGGTGGCACATTATAAAAATAATAAGGAATAATAAATAACAAGCTGTGGGTCAGAAGAGTAAGACCCTGCCAGTATCACCTGCACATCTGAAGTCTGCTCAGACTTCAGAAGAACTTATTTCTCTCCACTGATTTTGTAGGAGGAGACTTTGGGTCTCCTGTGTGAGGAAGCCTGGCATAGGCAAGTGAAGAGACATAACCATACTTTCTTTCGAATGCTGGAAGCAGTGAATTTTAGTGGCTAAACTTTATGTGACTTCTAGATTTAAATTTGGTGTTTGAAACGCCTATTTCAGAATTTTTTCACCATATATTTGAGCCCTCTTCTAGTAATATAACATTTCTCTGGTACAACTTGACTTCCTGATGGTCCAGCCGAGGGAAAGATTTCATGTATTTCAGTTAGTCCACTAGCAGTTTCCCCACAGCTGCTTCTACTTTACCTCTAGACAAGCTACAGCATGATGGAAATGTCAGAAGTTCAAATTCTGTTGAGGCTGCAGAATGAACAAATTCCCAACAGGAAGCTTAAGTCCATTATCTGTAATCATGCTCTTGAACTTCATGGCTGGCAAACCTCATTTCAGAGCATTAAGTGATAGCAGCGGCTGTTGCATATTACTGGATCTATTTTTCATTAATTAGAGTGGTAATGAACCATCATATGGCACTTTTGTCAAACCTTTATAAACAAATCCATATCTAGTGTGTTACAAAATCTGATAAACATTTAATATTAATTAATTCAATGTATTTATGTAATGATACGTTGTGTGTCTGTCACCTTGGTATTTAGACACATTATATAGTTTAAATACAGACAGATAGTAAATCTGCTGCTTATGATAAACAATATAAACAGCCCCTTCCCAGTATAATTGAACTCTAAATAACCCAGTGATAGTCTATAATTAAGTATAA